TCAGTATATAGGCAAGACAACAACGTCTCTTTCTAGGCGACTAATAATGCATAAGCAACAGGGAGCCATCAAGGAACACATAATCTCTTCTCACAACCAGACCATCACCAGAGAAATCTTAACAAGCAACACAGAAATTATCGATAGGTACGGCGATAGCAGGCGGCTTGACATCAGCGAGGCACTACACATTATAAAGTCAACACCAGCAATCAACAGCCAACAGCACAACTATATTCTACCTACTTCAAGACCCCGAACCAATATGGAAGCAGCAAGAGGAAGTATGGGCCAATAGGCCTTCTGCAGTTACTTGAAATTCATATGTTCACTTATCCAATTTATACCCATTGTTTCGTGTTCTGTCCTGTGTTTGTCACCTCACTCAAAACGTTTGTACCATATATCACCTCATCCAATAGAGTATAAGTACGAAGAATTTGCTTGCAAATTAAGTCTTTGAAAATGTAATATGAATTACGAAACGTGTTCAGGCGTCAAACAATTAAAAAAAGAATTTCGGAGAATTGTTATTTTTATTACAATCTCAATTTCAATCTCAATCTCAATACAATCTGGAAATTACAATCTCTTAAATTGAAATGGTATATCTGCTGGAATCATAGAAATGCGAGGAATGAGGACATAATCACCTTTGAAATGTCCTGTCAAGATTATTATTACTACGACATTGCTGATTAATTTTTTACTGCAAGGCGCGTGGCATTGCAAAGTTTTGGTTAGTTGATATTTCGCAACATGATAATTGGCACGCCGATTTTCAATTGCTGTATGTGTAATGGTATCCTTGGCAGATCAAGTGAATTAAAAAAAAAATTTGGGATAATTAACCGCTTCATGTGCTTCCTCAACAGTGTCGACGGACTTGTATGTGACTGCCTCGCTTTGAATGTTAGACTGAATAATGTTGTTAAGTTCGTAGATGTCTTTGTTCTTGGGGGCAAGAATAAATCGTTCACACAGCCAATCGGGATTCTTATAATTAGTTTGAATATTGGGAAATACTTTTTTCATCCAATTCTTCTTTTGACATCACTAAATTTTATAAGTTATGAGGCAATGAAATTCGTCCTGAGGTCAAATCAACCGGCACGTTCACGTTCCCAATTTCCTGAAATTGATGTGAGAATATCTCAGCTGATGAGTCGTTTTGCAGCTGGACACTCATATTTGTAGTTAATTTTAATGTCTTTACGTGGCAACACAAAGTAAAGTTTTTCAGGCGAGCATTTATTTCGTCCGCGGGTGTCGATCGAGGAATTACAGGTAATGTTTGCATGAAATCTCCTGCAAGCAATATTAATGTGTTCCGAAATAGTCTGATGTTTCCACGCAAATCTTGCAATGATCGATCAAGAGCTTCCAGCGATTTTTTGTGGGCCATTGTGCATTCATCCCAAACAATAATTTACATTTCTGCAATACTTTTCCCATGCCGGATGTTTTGGAAATGTTGCACATGGGAGTTTCAATGAATTGCATGTTCAATGGCAATTTCAAAGCCGAAGTAGCAGTTCTTCCTCCTGGTAGCGATGTCACAGCTATTCCGGACAATGCAAGTGCTAAGGCTATAACATTTTGGGATCGAAATGCTGCCAGAATCAATCTAATTAGAAAGGTTTTACAGTTCCTCCTGGCGCATCTAAGAAGATTTCTCCAAACCCGTTATTGACAGTTTGAATTATTTGATTGTAAATGCCTTTTCGCTCAAGCGTTAGCTTAGGAAAATTTGATTGCACATACGACAACAGATCACCCGTTGTGAAATTTTGTTCACGACGCAATTATACATCGAACGCAACAGCAGCAGATCGATTCGGTGATGGCATTTCCAATTGATTTAAAACATTGTTCGCGATTTCTAAACACAAATCTTCAATCATTACCATCGCTTCGTTGTAGATTTCTGCCGTGAAATCCATGTTCATATTTGAATTTGCGTATTCGACAGATAATATCTTCAGCCATGAGTGATTTATATTTCTCCGATAACTCTGTTGGAGATGCAGCAGAGTCGGTGGTCAATATGATTGCAAATAATGAACGAATTTGATTTTGATGTGACGTGTTGGTCGCGTCATTAGTGCATACATCCCAGTGTCTATCGGTCTCTAATAAATTCAGAGCTTGACATGCACTACGAAAAGTGACATGTGTGACGCCATGTTGTTGGTGGAAGCGGTTTTTGTTTGTTGTTTGTGGTAGTGTTAGTAGTTGTTAGTAGTTGTGGCTGTTGGGGGAAGTGGATGGTGGTAGTAGTTGATGGGGATTGTTGTTGTTAGCTGTATTTGTTGTTGGTTGTTGTTGTGGTGGTTGTTGGTTGTTTTTGGTTGTGGTGGTTATTGGTGGTAGTGGATGTTGGTGGAAGTGGTTGTTGGTGGTTGGGGTTGTTTGTGCAGGTAGTGGTTGTTGGTAGTAGTGGTTGTTGGTGGTAATTGTAGGGAGTGAATGTTCGTGGTTGTTGGTAGTAGTGGTTGTTGGCGGTAATTGTTGGTAGTGAATGTTCGTGGTTGTTGGATTTTATTGGTGGTAGTGGTTGATGTTGTTGGTTGTGGTTCTTGATGGAAGTGGTTGCTGGTGGTAGTCGTTGTCGTTGGTCTTGGTGGTGGTGGTTGATGGTTGTGGTTGTTTGTTCTGGCAGTGGGTGTTGGTAGTAGCGGTTGCGGTTGTTGTTGATGGTAGTAGTGGTTATTGATGTTGTTGGTAGTGGTTGTTGGTGGTTGTGGTTGTTGTTGGTAGTGGTTGTTGGTGGTTGTGGTTGTTAGTGGTAGTGTTTGTTGATGTTAGTGGTTGTTGTTGGCGGTACTGGTTGTTGTTTGTTATTGGTGGTAGTAGTTGTTGTTGGTAGTGGTTGTTCGTGGTAGTGGTTTATCGTAGTGGCTGTTGTTGGTGGCAATGGTTGTTGGTGATAGTGGTTTATGGTAGTGGTTGTCGTTGGTAGTATTGGTTGTAGTTGGTGGTAGTGGTTGTTGGTGGTGGTAGTGGTTGTCGTTGGTGGTAGTGGTTGTTGATGGTTGTTGATTTTGGTGGTAGTGATTGGTCTTGGTGATAGTGGTTGTTGATGGTTGATGTTGTTGGTGGTAGTGGTTGTTGTGGTTGATGTTGGTGGTTGTTGATGGTAGTGGTTGGTGATAGTAAATGTTGGTGGTACCGGTTGTTGGTGGTTGTTGGTGGTATTGGTTGGTGATAGTAATTGTTGGTGGTACTGGTTGTTGGTGATTGTGGCTGATGTTGGTGGTAGTGGTTGTTGTTGGTGGTGGTGGTTGTTGATGGTAGTGGTTGTTGGTTGCAACCACGCAAGAAGGGCCTCGTGTGTCAGTTATATTGATATTGTACACCATGCTAGTGGGGACGAGCTTGTCAGTCGTACTGGTATTGTACTCAACGGAAGTGGGGATTAATGTGTCAGTTGTACTGGTATTGTACACCATGCTAGTAGGTACTAGTGTGTCTGTTGTACTGGTATTGTACACCATGCTAGTAGGTACTAGTGTGTCTGTTGTACTGGTATTCTACACCATGCTAGTAGGTACTAGTGTGTCTGTTGTACTGGTATTGTACACCATACTAGTAGGTACTAGTGTGTCTGTTGTACTGGTATTCTACACCATGCTAGTGAGGACTAGTATGTAAGTTGTCCTGGTATTGTACACCATGTTAGTTAGGACTAGTGTATGAGTTTTACTGGTATTGTACACCATGCTAGTGGGGACTAGTGTTTTAGTTGTACTGGTATTCTACGCCATGCTAGTGGGGATTAGTGTGGCAGTTGTACTGGTATTGTTCACTACGCTAGTGGGGACTAATGTGTTCATTGTACTAGCGTTGTACTCAATGCTAGGTGGGACTATATTCATCTAGTGGTGCTCACCATGTTGTTATCACCTATATGTATTTACTCTCCTTGTTGTTCCCGGGTAGTTGTACTCTCCTACTTGCATTTACCTGGCAGTATATGAGAGTACATAAATTGTACTCACCTATGTGTTCTCTCCTAGTTGCACCTATTTAGTTGTATTTACCATGTTGATCTCACGAATTTGTGTTTCAGTTATATTTTATGTAAAATCTGCTAGAATACAGATGCATGTGATAAAGGTTTTTTTATGTACCTTAATTTTTCTCTAATGTATTTTACATAAAGAACCTCAATATCATTTTAAACTTGAAAACAGTAATATTTAATATGTCATTTAGAAAATAGTGTTTTAACAAAAAAATTTTGCAAAATCATTTTAAAGTCAATAACAGTTTAGATTAAGTGAATGTTTTGCACACCTTTTATACAACTAAGATACAACCTTTCAATTATTATTATTATTATTATTATGATTATTATTATTATTATTATTATTGTGAAGTACAAAATGACATGTAAATTTAATAAATATACCTGGAAAAATAGTTTTAATAATTATGGGAACAAATAGTATATGTCAATATATTCGGTATATATATATATATAAATTATGATCCGATCATCTAGTAACTAAATGATTTAAAAATATTTCATACAGCTTTAAAACAACATTAAAATATATATATGTAATATACATAAATTTAATTTTTAAACATGAACAAAATATTTTTGTAATATATTAAGGTGAAAATAGTGTTAGAAAAGGCGGCATTTACCTTATTACAAAAAGAAATACTTTTAACATTCTTTTGGTTTGGAGGTTGCACATGTACCTGCTGAAGCACACATGAAACTTTTCTTTCCCACAACCTATTGAAACGTTATTGGACGTTGCCCCGACGTTTTGTGTTTGCTGGGGAGAGACTGACTGCATGCTATTTTCTGTGTGTTTGTCACGTGTATGTTGTGTTTTAGTGATACTCAAGATGGGAGCATAATAACGAATTCTTATTAATCCACTAAACACCTAGTTTGGTAAAAAATAAGGGTAAGTTATCCTGATTTGCTGTCAACACATGACAAATTTAGAGTTATCAATAGCATTTTGTTTACCCCACAGAATTATGATAAGGGAAGTGACGGGTCCACAAATAGACATCATTCGTGATCTTTCGCTGGTGACCCCCCCTGGGTACTTGGAGATTGGGCCAGAGAACGTGTTATTGCCAAGTTTTTATGCCAAATGGCAATCCAAATACACCAGTTTTCCAGTTTACCCGGATGATGTTTGGGTCGTGACATTCCCGAAGTCAGGTGAGAAAGTTTTCCATTGTCATGTGGTTTCTTTATCGCGGCAGTTTACCGCTAGAATTTTATTTACAAAAAAGAAATAGTAAACTAAGTAGTCCAATGATATCACTCATTATCAGATATACTGATCAAGTGTTTGAATATGATGTCCCTTTTTCCACTTTCCTTGTTGACTATGACAAATTTTGAACCTGGTCAGTTTTCAATATTGGTTCAGTTTATCTACCACTCAAAATGTCTGCATCGAATCAACTCAGAAAGATGTTATCAAGATCAATAACGTTCCTGAGAAAACACCAAATTAACGTTAGAAGCCACGTACGACTTTATTCAGAAAAGTATTCGAGGGGAGTTTGACATACATAAGATATTTTGATCTTCTCTAGGTATGTACATCTGATTCAATCTATAATATGGATATTATTTTAGTGTATTCAGCATAAAATTTTTAGATGTTAAGTAGTGGGATCAATAGTTAAGGTAAACCTAAAAAATATGGTTTTTACATTGCCAGCTAACATTTAATTAATATCGGCTTCATTTAAATGTTGATAAATGAGTTTTTTGTTGTGAGGTTCATGGATAAACTCACAAGCTCAATAGAAGGAATACTTCTGTCTAACAAAATTCTTTACAAAATATCATACATATATGATCTTATTATTCATCAGCCATGAGTCTAACATATATACTGTGACTTTTTCAACCTAAAAATTTTAGAAAGTTGGGTTTCTACCATCAATCCAAATATATACCAATATTTATTTGTATATATTGTAGAATTATAGGGGGTACTATTTTCCCACAATACAGAGTGATTGAGAGTAGTGGAGTGAGTAGACTCACAATACTTTAGCCATATTTAATTACAGGTCTTCCACACAGAGTTCTTAAGTCTCAGAGACTTTTCTGAGAAGCTGAGCGACTAGAGTTGCCACGATTCTGAATCCTTGTGTTTAAAAGTATCTACAATGTTTCTACTCAATTACTGTAGAGTCGCTTAGAGCAGTATATTGCTAAGTGTCCGTGAATCTCACTGTATTATTAGTATTAAAGTAACTATTAATATTGTGTTCATTGGATCATGAGTCGGGTAACTTAATGAGGATTTTCTGTATATTGTTCCTCAAACGCTCTTAATTTTGGCTGCATAATTTACATGGCAAGGGCTTCAACTTTTTATAATTGTTCAACATAGTAACTTGAGCACTAAAATATTGTAAAATGCCAAAATTTTTGTATTATGGTATCAGATTTGAATATAATATTTATTTTGTTTATTTTAGAATATAGCTTGCGAGTATAGTTTACTTTAAACAAAATTTCAATGTAGTCGACCAAATATGCTCCAATTTTAAAAGGAAACAAATTATAACTCCAATAGTTTTCCGTTTATGAAAAAACGAAAAAGAGCATATTTTAGAACAAAGAATTTGTACATAATATATAAAAATGGTGGGAATCGATCAGAAACTAAATTTTCAGTCTTCTCAAATTTCAAAATCATATTTAAAAGAAAACTGAAGATCAAGTTCTCATCAATGCATATGGTCATTCTACACGCATATGGACATTCTTTCAGTGTTCAATATATATTACTGGGTACTCGTACTCGAATATGTGAAAGTTGTAGGTCAATATATTTTTAAATGAAGTCAAGAAAAATTAATACCAAAAAGATTTTCACATATTTACTGTATAATTATTATTTTAAAAATGTACAACATTTCACAGGTATGATTTGATATACATTGACTTTATTAGCACTGCTATTGAATATTTTCCGGTGTTCTGATATATGTCACTATAACTGAACATAAAGTTCAGTAATGTGTGTGAGTTAAGGTAAAAAACAAATATATTTCAATAATTTTTGGCCAATATTTAGGCAATAAATTTTCCTAGCAACCCTTTCTTCCTTCTTGTATTTGTACGTGTAACACACTTTCCCTCTTCTAATTAGTGTCCTTCGATAGGAAAGGAATCGTGAATACGGACAATGTAACAGTCAAGAAACCAAGGGATACGTAATGACACAATAGTGTGTCATGGTTTGTCACACCAGCCTTAGTGTGTCACCTGACAACTGGCATGGCTGGCAGGGCCCAGGTTTAGTGTGTCACACCTGACAACGGTCGTGGCTGGCAGGGCTTAGCCTTAGTGTGTCACCTGACAACGGTCAAGGCTGGCAGGGGCCCAGCTTTAGTGTGTCACCTGACAACTGTCGTTGCTAGCAGGGGCCCAGCTTTAGTGTGTCACCTGACACCGGTCGTGGCTGGCAGGGCCCAGCCTTAGTGTGTCACCTGACAACGGTCGTGGCTGGCAGGGCCCAGCCTTAGTGTGTCACCTGACAACGGTCGTGGCTGGCAGGGCCCAGCCTTAGCTGTCACCTGACACCGGTCGTGGCTGGCAGGGCCCAGCCTTAGTGTGTCACAACTGTCGTTGCTAGCAGGGGCCCAGCTTTAGTGTGTCACCTGACACCGGTCGTGGCTGGCAGGGCCCAGCCTTAGTGTGTCACCTGACACCGGTCGTGGCTGGCAGGGCCCAGCCTTAGTGTGTCACCTGACACCGGTCGTGGCTGGCAGGGCCCAGCCTTGGTGTGTCACCTGACACCGGTCGTGGCTGGCAGGGCCCAGTCTTAGTGTGTCACCTGACACCGGTCGTGGCTGGCAGGGCCCAGCCTTAGTGTGTCACCTGACACCGGTCGTGGCTGGCAGGGCCCAGTCTTAGTGTGTCACCTGACACCGGTCGTGGCTGGCAGGGCCCAGCCTTAGTGTGTCACCTGACACCGGTCGTGGCTGGCAGGGCCCAGTCTTAGTGTGTCACCTGACACCGGTCGTGGCTGGCAGGGCCCAGCCTTAGTGTGTCACCTGACACCGGTCGTGGCTGGCAGGGCCCAGTCTTAGTGTGTCACCTGACACCGGTCGTGGCTGGCAGGGCCCAGCCTTAGTGTGTCACCTGACACCGGTCGTGGCTGGCAGGGCCCAGTCTTAGTGTGTCACCTGACACCGGTCGTGGCTGGCAGGGCCCAGCCTTAGTGTGTCACACCTGACAACGGGTCTGCTGGCAGAAATTTTTTCTAACACAATTCATGAAGACCTCCTATGGAAAACAGAACATAAACAATACCACTGCCACTAAACATGTGTTGTGATTTCCTTTAGAAGGAGGTAACATCCTAACACCATTCCATATTTGGTGAGGATCCTTTAAAGATGTAGTATGGCCAGATGTCGCAATCCAAAGTAGATCGCAGGTAGATACTCATTTGGGATTAGATGCACTGTTTAACAGTACACCTACTCCACCAGTCGTCGACAGTACTCCATATACCTCTCTAGTTTCTATTCCAGAACCAAGCACTGGTCTAGAGCCACCTTCATTGTGGAGCAAGAGAAGGAAGCACCCCCAGGGGCAAGCACTCGCAGATACTATTGAGACTGGATCGAAGACAGGTGACCAGTACTTCTGGAAGGATAAGGTACTGTGCCTTATCGACAAAGAACTCCCCAGACTCTAGAAGTAGGTACACAGAAAGTCGTGCCCTACGTGTTCAGAACCAAGATGTTGGAAACAGCTCACGATGGATTATTTTCCTGACATTGTGGGATATCCAGAAATTTTCATCGCCTTGCCAGATGTTGCTACTGGTCTAGTATGAAACAGGACGTTCGACGGTACTGTAAATCCTGCCTTGTATGTCAGCTTACAGGAAAAGTGAATCGACTGTCCCGAAAGCCCCTCATTGTCCCATACCCTCCATTGGTGAACCCTCAGAACACCTCATCCTGGATATAGTAGGCCCGCTTCCACCTTCTACTGCTGGGCTGCAGTATTTGCTCACCATTATGGATAGAGTTAGTAGATACCTTAAGCGATCCTCTTTAAGTCCATCACATGATGGTAGTAGTCAAACATCTGATATGGTTCTTTTCCAGACAGTGTCTCCATAAGAAGATTCATACACACCAAGGGACTAAACTCACCTCCCGATATTTTAACAAACAGATAGCCGACAAGGGAGTCCAACATACAACACCGAGTGCCAACCATCCCGAGTTGCAAGGGTCATTAGAACGATTTCATCAGACGTTGAAGAACATGAGAAAATATTACTTCGAAAGGCAAGGTAGATGGGCTGAAGATCTACCTTACTTCCTCTTTGGCATTAGATTAGTACTGAATGAGTCTCGGGGCCTATCTCCCTTCGAGATGGTGTATGGTCACACTGTGAGAGGACCATTGGAGGTTATCAAGGACCAGTGGGCGGACAAAGAGCAACATTAATGTGCTGGACTGGTTATCTACACACAAAGTCAGGTTGTTTGATGCATGAGAACTAGCTAAAGAGAACCTGTTACATTCTCAGGTAAATGCATGGAAGAGATACGAGAGCAAAGCGACAACCAGGGAATTTCAGATAGGAGACCTCGTACTGGTATGTGCTCCAAAGGTAACAGGACGTTTGAATACCAAATTCATTGGTCCTTACCCTGTTCTCAAGAAAGGTAATTCTGCTAACTATATCCTTAGCAAAAAATGCAGATGTTTGTACACGTGCACATGGTGAAGTTGCACCAAGGACGAGTCATTCGCCCAGTGACGATGGGGGTCACAAGAGACCATGACCAAGAGATGATGGAGGATGTTAGTAAACAAATGGGATCGAATTCAGCTATTCCGCTGAATCTTTCTACCAAGTTGACTTACGTGCCTGAGGAGCAACATAGGGCCCTAAAAGAGTTAATAATGCAATATAAGTTTATTTTCAGAGATACTCCAAGCCTGACGTCCGTCTTGAAGCACGACGTTATCCTTGAGGAGAGCGTGAGACCGATAAAGCAACATCTCCATCGACCACATCCCCATAAGAAAGAGGTGATAAGTCTTGAGATGCTACATGCTCCAACATGATCTGATCGCCCCAAGTCTTTAGTCGTCCTCTATTCTACTATTATTGAAGCCTGGTAATGAACAGAGGCTATGCATAGACTACCGACCAG